AGGAGTGGTTGGAAGCATGAATTTTGATCTGAGAGTGAAGCTGATATTGATATTGTGCGCCTCCACATTCATGTGCTCTCATAGTGGCTTTTCTCACGTTTGACAACAACTCAGATGGGAACATGGTGATATACCAAGCAGATCTGAACTGAAAACATAAAGAAAAAACAAAATACCTTTCAGGGTGACTTTGAAACAGACTTTGTGTCCTTTTTCCTTTTCCTCTCTTTCTTTCTCTTATCGTCATTCTTATATTTCCCTACTCATTTCCTTCACTTTCTAAAATACAATCATTAAATACACATTTCTGGTTTACCCCATGGCTCTGATATCAGATATACTGTGACTTTGTCTTCAAAAATAAACCCGAAATTTTCAAGGTAGATAACCAGAAAAATATCAAATTAAACCCTCTACCTGTCCCATGAAAAACTCAAAAGACTGCCAGGCATGGTGGCTCATGGCTGTTGTGTCAGATACTTTAGGATGCAGAGGCAGGAAGATCACGTAAGCCCAGACGTTCAAAACTAGCCTGGGCAACATAGTGAGATCTCATCTCCTTAAAAATTAATAAGGGAGGCTGAGGTGGGTGGATCACCTGAGGTCAGGAATTCCAGACCAACCTGACCAACATGGAGAAGCCCCGTCTCTACTAAAAATACAAAAGTAGCCAGGTGTAGTGGTGTACACCTGTAATCCCAGCTACTCAGGAGGCTGAGGCAAGAGAATCGTTTGAACCTGGGAGGTGGAGGTTGCAGTGAGCCGAGTTCATGCCACTGCACTCCGGCCTAGGCAACAAGAGTGAAACTCCATCCCAAAAATAATAATAATAATAATAAGGAAAAGCCCCAGGGAGATTTACTGCTCAGATAAGTCTGACTACATCTGGTCCAGCTAAGGTATGGTGGTGGCCTAGGGAGAAGGCTTCTGTTTATTGGATGTTTAATAAAAAGTTGTGTGTTTTTTAAGACTAGTCAAGTACAGTAGCGAGAAGGGGGGAAAAAGTAGAACAAGGAATTAAATCTGTAACCCTGTCACTGACTGGGAACAATCAGTTGAGATAGCTCACTACCTTTGGACTAGCCAATAAAAGATAATTTTGAGGAAGGAATGTTTGACCTAGGATATTAGCTTATAGCAAATTTTTACTGAGTTAACTTTTTTTTAAAAATGGATTCTTGCTCTGTCACCCAGGCTGGAGTGCAGTGGCACAATCTCAGCTCACTGCAACCTCTGCTTCCCAGGTTCAAGCAATTCCCCTGCCTCAACCTCCCAAGTAGCTGGGAATACAGGTGCATGCTACCATGCCCAGCTAATTGTTTTGTATTTTTAGTAGAGACGGGGTTTCACCTTGTTGGCCAGCTGGTTTCGAACACTTCAAGAGATCTGTCCACCTCGGCCACCCAAAGTACTAGGATTACAGGCATGAGCCACCACCTCTGGCCTGAGTTAATTTTTAAATTGAAATGGATATAAGATGATGAATGAATTCATTTTACCCATCACAAAATCAACCCACTGCCAAATAGTTACACAACAGCTATTATAGACCAAGTGTGTTGCTAGGAGCTATAAGAAAATAAGAGACGAGACAAAGAAAATGCCTACTAACAGCTATTATAGACCAAGTGTGTTGCTAGGAACTACAAGAAAATAAAAGATGAGCCAAAGAAAATGCCTACTTTGGGGAAACATATGCCTTATACATACGGAAAACTAATAGATATGATTGGTTCATCAACAATGTCTTGTGAATGATACACCGAGGTTGGTCTAGGAGTCAAGAGTAAGGCAAGCTCACTGTGGGGTCAAGCAGCCTCACACGCCTCTGTGACCACCTCCAGCCCTAGTGTCAGTGCTCCCTAACTCTAAAGTCCACTTTCTTCCCTCCTCTGCCCACTGAAGTCTATTCATCCTTCAAAATCTGGAGCAAATAGTACTCCTCTGTGTTGTTTCCCTACTAACCCATTGTCAGAATTGGCACCTCTTTCTTCGTGCTCTTATTGCAATTTGTACATAAGACATATTTCTGTCTTAGCATCTTACACAGAATCTTGTAATTATTTATTTTCATGTCTGACTTCCTGATCAGACTGCTGCTCTAGAGAAAGCATCATGCCTTTTTCTTCATTTGCAATCCCAATATGCAGCCCTGGGCTTAGCAATATAGAAGCCACTGAGTGTTTGATGCCTGAACTCATCAGAGAATGAATCACATATCTGAGTTGATAGAATCTTATAGGGCATTTGATTCCACCCTCTATATAATCTGTTAATCTGCTTATAATACCTCCAAATACGTGTCATCTAGACGCTGCTTGAATAAAGCCAATTTTAGAGCTTGAAACACTGGAAGGGGTTATACGCAAAAATGTGCCTTTTCAGTTCCACCACTGGCCATAATTCTAATCTTTCTCTCCACATTGATCCTTCAAATGTTTAAAGGCAAATGTTTACATTACTGAGTCAGGTGCTTAGATTAAGAGACTACTTAGATCCTCTTTTGCAAAGGGAGCCCAAGGCAGTTCGGTCCCCTGCTCAAGGTCTCCACAGTTAGCTCACAGCAGATCCAGGTCTCCAGCTGTATTTCCCTCTTCTCCAGGCACTTGGAGTAGATAGTCCCTTCTTACTAAACGAGCCAGGTGCTTTCAGTCAGCAGTGTGTACCTGAAGCTACATCCTAGGCAAGGAAATATATAACACTGGTCCTTCCCACACCAGGAGCCCATTCCTTCTGTCTGGGACATCCTTGCAGGATAAGCACTACTAGCCTTTCTCCAGGGAAAAATACCCCCCTCTCCCGGCCTCCTCTCTAGTTTCAGGGGAGATAGGAAAATTGCCTCACTCTTTTTCTCAACCCGGCTCATAGAAATGGCTCCTCACCCTCTCCTAACACAAAGAACCTGTTTTGTTTCCTGCTGTCCTGCTGTGGGCACTAATGTCACGCTATGGTCAGACCTGCCGTCTTTATAGAGCCAGCATGCTTCTGTGCATAACTGCCAATATCATATGTATATATGCAATACCCTTTCCTTTTTCCTGGAATTGTTTTTCTCATAAAAGTGGATATTTTTTATCGAATGGCTACTATGTCGTACAAAAATGAGTAGCATTCAGCCGGGCGCAGTGGCTCAATCCTGTAATACCAGCAGTTTGGGAGGCTGAGGCGGGCGGATCATGTGGTCAGGAGATTGAGAACATCCTGGTTAACATGGTGAAACCCTGTCTCTACTAAAAATACAAAAAATTAGCTGGGCATGGTGGTGGGCACCTATAATCCCAGCTACTCGGGAGGCTGAGGCAGGAGAATGGTGTGAACCCAGGAGGCGGAGCTTGCAGTGAGTTGAGATAGTGCCCCTGCACTCCAGCCTGGACAACAGTGCAAGACTCCATCTCAAAAAAAAAAAAAAAAAAAAAAAAAGAGTAGCATTCTATCCCATCTTGCGAATGAGTAGACTGAAGCTCCAAGGGGGTAAGTCATTTTCCTATGTCACCAAGTTGACTCATGATAGAGCAGGATTCTGAAACACATGTGTCTACCCCCAATACCCATACTTCAACTGCCTCTCTAAATGTGAGGTCACCTTACTCCTTTTGGGCCCAAAGAGGGAGAAATTATACAAGGTTTTTGATTTTATAGTGTCCATCAGGGCCTAAAACATGACTTCCCCTCAAAGGAATCTACTAGTTCTTCCCCAATAAATTATATCTGGTTGCTACAGGAAGCAAGCAGCCCTACAACACTTTTACATGTTGCTTGAAAAAAGAGGACCTTTTTATTTCATTTTAAAAATTATTGAGTATTTTAATCTCTATAGTTAGGACTAAAATATCCAATATTGACTAACATATTGGAATATTGGATATTTTAGTCTCCATAGTTGAGCTGCTTCTCTCAGGTTCCTAATGCAAAAAAACAAAAGATGCATATACAGATGTAAGAAGAGATTTCACCTGTGAAACAAAAAATAGCAAATTTTTAGAAAAATTATGTCTTTGGGGGCACTGCACTTAAGAAACTTAGGGAGATAAAACTGTCACAAAAATATATTGGGGGGAAAAGCTAACATCACATAATTTAGTGTTAAATGTGTGTGCTACTGACCAGAAATGCTATAGGAATTAAAAGAATAGAGGATCATTGATGTGAAAGGCAGATGAAATGCTTTTAAATGCTTTTAAAGTTTCAATAACTTACAGCTACTGAGCACTTACTATGTGCCAGGAGCTATCCTGAGACACTTTACATTATTAACTCACTTGATTCTCACAAAACACTTCAAAGAAGCTCCTATTGTTTTCTTTATATTTGTGAAACACAGAAGGGTTAATCTGTCTGAGATTACACCGTAGTAACTGACAGAGCTGGGCTTTATCTCAGGCAACCTGGATCCAGAGCCTGGTTGCTTAATCAATGCACTCTATTGCCTCTCAGTGTTCTTACACATGCGTTATTAACACATGGCCTGGTGCCAGAAGATTCTCTGGCCCGTCCCAGTAGTGACTGTGCCATGTGTCCTGGAGGTGAATCAGTATTCAATTGAGAGGGGAGGGATGGCTTTGCATGCCTACCCTTCTACCACAAACCCTCCCTGGCAGCCACCCTCTCTCTCTCCCACTGGTGACCATCACTGGTGACCTGTGAAAGGGACATGCCAACAGCACAGCTGGGGCTGTGGCATTGTGCCAGGGGCAGGATCACACAGGGCAGTGCTGCAGTAGTACCTGTGGTACCACAGGTGTGGTGGCTCCTGGTCCCAACTCCACCCCACCAGCCGCTGTGTGGTGGTGTGTCAGGTCACCACACCAGTCTGAGCTTCAGTTTTGTGTATGATAAAGAGAATGTGTCTGACAAGGTGACCTTTTCCTAGTCTGCTGATCTGTGCAGTTCTAGGGCTGCAGAATGGAGACTAGAGACAGCAGCACAGTCTGAAATGCAAGACTCTGTCCAGTAAAAGGTCCAATTCCAGCAGCTCTGCCAGAAAGCTACAGCCTTGACAACTGTACTAACATTTGGCACCAGTGCTGCATGAGGGGTGGGAACACACCAAGCACAGGGTTTACCTGTGACCTGAACATTTCCCTTCTCACATTCACACACCAGAGACCCGCTACAGAAGATTCAAACTGAGCAAATCGCCTAATCCTCCAAATTCTTTTTCCTGGCTTGTTAGAGCAGCCAAGGATGGGGTGGAGCTTATGAATAAAAAGCCTGCTTCGTTTTTCCCATGCAGGAGAACATGGCCAAGCGAGTTGCCATTGTGGGAGCTGGGGTCAGCGGCCTGGCCTCCATCAAGTGCTGTCTGGAAGAAGGACTGGAGCCCACCTGCTTTGAGAGGAGCGACGACCTTGGAGGGCTGTGGAGATTCACCGTAAGTGAGGTTTCAACAACTTTGTCTGTTGGAGAATGGCTTGGCAGCTGGGAAATTATATCCGTGCTTCTTTCACAAGGGCTGGTGGCCTTGAGGAAGGTTAGAAATGTCTGCTAAACAGGTGGCCACGAGGAGCCATTGAAATTGTAAAAGAAACAGGACACGGGTGAGCTTGGATGGAAGTCAGAACAGATTTGTACACTTTATCTAGAGCCAAAGGGAGGAAGTGTTTCCAAAGATGCCCAAGAAGTGTAGAAGAGAATGGGGTAACTGGGCCAGGCCAGGAAAGCCCAGGAGCAGAGGAGCAGGACAAGGGCATCTGAAGCAAGGCCAGAGACGGCAGTGCTAGGGGCAAGAGCAAGAATTTCAGCCTCTGCCTGCAAGACGGAGCAGCTTTTACCTGCTTCTTTTCCCAGCCTGGCTCCATCTGCATTAAAGACTCAGGGCTGCGTGTAGGATGAGCTCCATAATCAAGGTCCTGCTGCCCCGGCAATCCCAGTGCAGGCCAAGAACAAACAGAAGTAAAGAATGTGAGTTTTGAGTCTTTTTTTTAATTCCCTGAGCAGAAGAAAAGTAATATACTCAAGTCTCAGCAGGGTTACTGCCCGGATCGGAGAAAGGAATGAAGGGGTGAGGACCGAGGAAAGGGGACTCTAAAGCCCACCCTTGCCTGGCCTGGGGTCCCATGAGATCACAAGGGCCCTTCTTGAAGCCAGTGAAAGCCCGAAGCCGGGCAGGGAAAGTGTTCTCTGATCTCCATGGCTCAGTCAGGGAAACATCTGCATCAAATCTTTCCAGAGTTTTCTATTTTCCCTCCTTTTGAGCAAAAACATTTCCCATGAGCTTTAAATTTGCTGAGGAGAAAGCTGTCAGAAAGAGTGAAAAGAAGCAAGGTATCAGATAACCCGGCCTCAGATCCCCTGAGGGGCTGAGAGAGAGACACAGCATTTCTCTATCACAGAAGGGTAGAATTTGGAACTGAAATAAAGTAATTATTTTCTAGCACAGTGAGTAAAACTCCAGAGAAGCCAAGGTTACTAGTTTAGCCACAATCCTCCAGCATAGGCAGCTTGGCATCACATAAAGAACTGCATATCTTAAAATGCACCCACCACCAAATGTGATCATCAATGCCTGGAGACCGCCAAAGAGGACCAGGTGAAAGGGCATGCCTCTTCTCAGGAATCAAACCACACATGTTCCAACAGGATGGCAGAAACCTGACACCTAGACCAAAAATCTCCCCCCTCCCATGTCCATCGAAGACGTTACTAACCAAACATGATGCCTTTCCCCTAGGGAGCCTCAGAACCCTTCTTAACAACATGATTCCGAACAAGCATACCTAATCAGTCAGGGTCAGGAGTTGACTTGAAAGATGAAACTGCCTAACTAAATTAGCAGAGTTATTTAACTAAAGTAATCTCAGTCAAAACAAAAACTAAACCTAAAGATCAAAAGCAGTACTTAGCCTCCTGCGACACCAGACATAAATGCTCTTTATATAGGTCACAGGCACCTAATCATTCACACTAAAAATCATTGATCTAAGAATCAAGAGAAATGGGTCTAGATCCAGCTGGGCCCATTTCCAGTTGTGTAAATCAGGTAGGTCAAACACCAGTGCACAAAGCACAAAACACTGTGGGGGACACAAAAATGACAAGGATTCACCCTGCCCTCGGAGCTGTTAGGCAGATGGAAGAAGGCTAGGATTTTGCAAGTCAGAAATAGTGCTGTGGGCATTTCATTAAGAGCAGGATGATAGCCATATTTAGGAAGCCAGAGAAGGCTTCACTGAAGAGGTAGTGTGTGATGGAGTTTGAAAAATTCAACAGGTAGACAAGATTGAGCAGAAGACACCTGGGAGGGTAGGGACAGTAAAGAAAAAGTACTGGGCATATTTGGAAAATTAAAATAGCTTTTTGGTGCATAAGGTACACGTAAGAGGAGGAATGGGAGGGAAAAGGGTGACTGCATGTTTGGGCAAGCAGTTTACACTCAGTTTAAAAAGCAATGGGTAATGAGGAACAAAATTAAGGAGATTTGCTGGTTGTTGTGTTTGTTTTGTTTGCATGATGGGAAGACCCAAAGATTTTTGTGGGCAAATAGAAACTATCTGGATGACTGGAAATAAGTGAGCACATAAATCCAAATTGAGACATGATCCTGGCGGGAAAAGGGAGGAGTGGAATTGTAGGCACAGGTGCAAGGGTTAGCCCTGGCAAGGTGGGAAGACAAGAGATACACCCTCCCCAGAGATTGGAGGGGAATGGAAGGTGAACATGGAGGAGAAATTTTGAGGTAGAGGAAGAAGATGTAAGAGCACACACACCAGAGGCCTCGATTCTATTGAGAAAATATGGCACCTGCAGAGGGTGAAGAGGGTGTGGGGTGGTAAATGGGGTTGGAGAATTAGAAAAACAGAGGTCAGCCAGGCATGGTGGCTCACGCCTGTAATCCCAGCACTTTGGGAGGCCAAGGTGGACAGATCACCTGAGGTCAGGAGTTCAAGACCAGCATGGTCAACATGGCAAAACCCCGTTTCTACTAAAAATATGAAAATTATCCAGGCATGGTGGCATGCACCTGTAATTCCAGCTACCCAGGAGAATTGCTGGAACCTGGGGGGCAAAGGCTATAGTGAGCTGAGATTGTACCACTGCACTCCAGCCTGGGTGACAGAGCAAGACTAGATCTCAAAAAAAAAAAAAAAGAAGAAGAAGAAATATTCTGGAGAATGCAATTGGACATCAAAAAGATGAGTAAGAGGAGTATCAAGCAGTAGCCAAGGTAAAATGGCACCCAACTCGCAAGTCATTCTAGCTCTATTACCTCATTTATAAAATGAAAACATGGGACCAGTATGAAACACATACAAAAGCTGAATTAGTAGGGGGCTTAGGAAAATCCACCCTCACCTTCATGCAGCAGCCTTCTCTTGACACTGCAGCCTTTTTAGGCACCTCTGTAATACCTTGAGATTCCTCTAAAGCTTGACTGGAAATTCCCAAACTAGGCGGCCTTAAAGGTGCATTCAGCTCTTATATACAATGAGTCTCCTGAGTCTTTCTAGAAGCATTCCTTTTCCTCCTTCCCCAACACACACAGGCACACACACGACACACACACATGACACACACACACACACACAAAGGTTAGAGACGTCTTTGCACTCAAGGTAGGTGGCCCATTTAAAACCTTTAGAATCAAAAACCCTGCCCTGGCAATGGCCATGCTTGCCAGAAAGTGTTCAAAATGGAATTCTTATTGCCTTAGGGTGGAAGGGACCCTAATGCAAAAGTAGAAAGGCAAATTGCAGAGATCCAATAAAACACGTGTGGAGAAAGTTTCCATTTCCAGATAGGGAGAGGGCCCAGAGAATGGAGACATTATAAATTACTGCATTTTGGCCAGGCACAGTGGCTCATGCCTGTAATCCCAGCTCTTAGGGAGGCAGAGGCAGGAGGATAGCTTGAGCTCAGGAGTTCAAGACCTGCCTGGGCAATATAGCAAGACCCTGTTCTCCACAAAAAGAAAAGAAAAGACAAAAATAAATAAATAAATTACCGCATTTCATTGGATACTCACAACATCATGACTCTGGCCTCTCCCAGCTACCACAGTTTTAAGGAAAAGAGAGATCAGGCAGGAGTTACAATGAAAAAGAAAGAACATCATACCCTGGGGAAGGAGAGAGAGTGAAAACCACGAAAAAGAAAAATGCTACAGGGATAAAGAACCACTTCTGACCCAAGCAGAGGCCGGGCATGCGTGTGGAACACTTCTCAGACTCTTCAGAGGGAGGGGAGGCTTAGGAAGTAACACTAGGTTGACTATCACCGTTACAAAGTGATACTTGAAACAAAATTTGAGGAATTATCATCAAATATTACTTTCAGATAACTGTAGTGCAGGAAGAGACTTTGAGAAACAGTCTTCAGGTAAAAGCACATAGACATCATCTAGAGGTGACTAACAGTACTGTGGGGTAGAAACACACTGGACTTCATCCTTCACCTCCCTGTAACATTTGCTGGGGCCCATTAACCCTCCCTAGAATGATGTCTTCCTCATGTGCATCCAGTTCTTTTCCTCGGCACATGCACGCTTTCATTTATTCAACAAACATTGATTGAAACCCTACTATGTGCCTTACATACCACATATTTTTACATTCAGTGAGAGCAATGATGAAGTGTAAAAATAATTCACACTTATAAATCACTGAGGAATGGTTCCTCAACTATTTCTTCTTCAGGTTTGGCAAATCTGATTCCTGTAAACTTTCATTAAAATCCTTACTTCTAAAACGTGTATTCATATATTCAATAAACATGTTTTAATTACTATCATCCTAGTGGGGTACCCCTGACAGGCCCCTATCCTCATGGAGCTTGCATTCTTGAAGGTTCCTCAAATTTCCTCTGAGGTTTCCACAGCTCTCCTGCGATAAAGACCCGGGAACTGGACCCTGCCCTCCAGTGAGAGTCTGACTCTCACCAGGGAGAAGGGGCAACAAAGTAAACTGGGTGCCAGCTGTTTTAAGGAAATGAAAAGAAGGAAGAAATTAACATTCTTGGAGAACAGGAGATGTGAATGTTGTGCATATAGAGAGAAGATCTCTATTTAGGGGTGAATTTTATCATCACTTTATATCTGTTTTTAAAATGAGAAAGAAAACTGACTTGACAAAATTTTCTTCCCATTGCCTACACTCCTTCCTGAAGGGCACAAGCTCAAGAAAATAAATGCCCATGTAAGCTGTGAAAGAATAATACAAATAATGATTAATATTATTGACAGCCTAGACGCATTGTTCCATTAGTACCATTAGCATGATACCATTGCTTCATTGTTCCATTAGCATGATAGCTATCACTCCAATTTATCCTAGGGGATATATAATATTGTTGTTCCAGCATATAGATATAGAAACTGAGAGAAGTTAAGAAAACTCCCAGATCACCCAGCTAAAAATGTAGAGCTTGAGTATAAACCCAGGCAGTCTGACGTTCAGGCCATTCTGTTAAGAACTACATTGCATGCATTTCTGGAGTCTGTTTCACAGCTCAAGAATCAGGCAAATCCTGGGCTGTGTCTCAAGGAGTCCAAGCAAGTATGCCAGTGGTGATGGTCAATGCCAGTGGTGATGGTGACCTCCCCACTGTACTGCAGGACCAAAATGGACCAGAAGGACAGAAACCCCTCTGCTCGTGCTCTCAGTCTCTTCCCTCTTTCCACAGTTCAACCCTCCTCTCCTTTTTTCTCCACTCACCCATTTTTCTCTTCATGAAAACAAAAATCTTCTCCTAAGTGGCCCCATCCATTTTTAGAGGCATGTGTTTCCACTATCAGAGTTCAAGGCAACTGCTGGACCCCCCAGGTACAATGCTCAGAGTATCTGCAGCACGGGTGGGAGGGTGCGGGCTGGGTATTGAAGTCTGGCAGGGCCTGGAAATCACTGGGGCAGATTGCACAGTGAGGTGAACACTGGAGGTGAGGTCCCAGGTCCTACCAATACCATTCAGAAGGGGCATAACTCATACTCTCTGTGTATATGCTAAATACTCCAGACCTTTTCTATTTCCAGGAGAAACAATCAGTGGAAGGAAAGAGAGACAAGAGTAAGTACTGGTCTTAGATTTTATCCTAAGGGCTAGGTTTCTTCTCTAAGTTACAGTTTCTCATATATTAACATCTGTGATACATTATTTCACAACAGGCTTCAGTGTTTCCTGGAAGCACTTCATCTTTCTGCCTTGACAATTATCTTCCTATGTTTTGAGAAACAGAAGGTTTCTTTTTCCCTCTATTTTTGTTAGTTTATTGGCTTTAAGATTTCATAAAATAAATGGTTCCCTGGCTTATTCAGTTTCTATGAATCGCTGATATTTAAACATGCCATTATAAAATGCTTTAAAATTTTTAATTTATATATATACATATACACACACAAATTTTTATATATATTAAATTTATATAGAGAGAGAAAAAAAGTATATTTTGGGTATATTGAGTTAAATAAAATATACTCTTAAAATTAATTTCACTTGTTTCTTTTTACTTTTTTAATGTGGCCACTGGTAAATTCAAAAGTGTTTATGTGGCCTCTATACATCCTATTGGGCACCCTAAAGCACTCTCACTGAAAATATGGTCCATGGGCCAGCAGCATCTGCATAGGAGCTTGTTAGAAATGCACAATCTTGGCCGGGCGCAGTGGTTCTCACCTGTAATCACAGCACTTTGGGAGGCCGAGGCGGGCGGATCACAAGATCAGGAGATCGAGACCATCCTGGCTAACACGGTGAAACCCCGTCTCTAGTAAAAATAAAAAAAAAAAATTAGCCAGGTGTGGTGGCGGGCACCTGTAGTCCCAACTACTTGGGAGGCTGAAGCAGCAGAATGGCGTGAACCCAGGAGGTGGAGATTGCAGTGAGCCGAGATCGGGCCACTGAACTCCAGCCTGGGCAACAGAGCAAGACTCCATCTCAAAAAAAAAAAAGAAAGAAAAGAAGAAAAAGAAATGCACAATCTCAGGCTCAGCCTGACTTACAGAGTCAGCATCCACATGTTAATAAGACTACCCAAGCACATCCTAACAAAATTAAAAGGCGCTGAGCTACAGAGCTGTGCTTCTCAAACAGTGAAGAACAATCAAGTTTTTTTCCAATTAATTGTAGACTGTTGTCAAATATAATAAAAAGAATCCTCAGAAAAATGAAAATCACACAAAGAAAAAATACAAAACGTAAATTTTAAATTTATACAGTCAGAAATTATAAAATTAATTTCAGTAAGTGCCATTAAATAACATAGATATAAGGGAAAACAATTACAAAAAATGAACACATTGTTCTTTGAAACATAGGCAATTGACACAGAGAGTCATCATTACCCTTGTAACTTTTTGCCAAACAAATATTTTGTATGAAATTGCAGTTCTCCATGTTAGACACTGGTAGACACATTTTAAATACACATTTTTATATTACTATTTAAGGTTTTTAATATGACAATTAATCTTGCTTCCTGGTTGTCAATTGACCTAATCTGGTTTGAATGGATGGCAATGCTCTTTGCAGGGGATAATGTGTATCTAAACTATTTCTAAACATTGCTTAACAGCAGTGAAAGTAGAGAAAGGAGGCTCACAGAGTCATGTTGATTGAAATGAGGAAGAGATTTTTAAACCAGTCTCAGCAAGTTTAGGGTATTTTTTAACTGCTATCCAAAATGAAGCTGATAGTGCTACATTTTTTTAATGTATCTTCAGTCTTTTATCTGTAACCAGTTCAAATAACTTATACTATAAGATTAAATATAAATTTTCTTTCAGTGAAAGCAAATGATTCCAGATTTAATGCACTTTTGGATGACAATTTTCAAAATAATCTTAAAACGTCGCACATGATAATGCAGTCCTATGGCATATGACTAGTACCCAACTCAAACTCATCACACAAGTTAGACAAAAACAAGACCGATTTATATCCTGTTCAACAAAACGGTGTCCACATGCTTACATATTGAGCAATGCCAAATTATTGCTATAAAAGTTTCTAAATGCTTACTCTCAATTTCTGTATTTATCCTGTAACAGACTGGTAACAAACAATTCATATCAGTATTACTCTGCAGACTATATTTGAATAACACTGCTTTAGATATTCCAGCGGAATAAAGTATCAAGATTTAAACAGTCATCTTTCTCAAGCATTTTCACTGAGTCTGTGTGACGGGTGGGCCACAGATAAGCAGGTTATAATTAACTCTTATCAGTCAATGAGGTAAACAACATTAATTTAAACCACAGAGATATGTTTACAATTTTGTTATCTGTGATTGCTCTATATTTCATGCAGATACATGAATCTATATGTGATATCAGTTCATATCCTTTGCAGAAACAGAGAAAGCCCTCTCTGTATGTGAGATTTATGTTCATGTTTCTCCTTGTTTGCATAAATTAAATAATTTTTATTTCACAGGAAAAATGAACTCTACATATGCAAGATGGTAAATAATGTTAAAATACGAGAACCTTCCCACTGAAATCAGAATAATCCTCCTTACTACTGCCCAAAAGACAGAGGCAATGTATATTAAAAACATTACTGAAACTGCTTATTATTCACCTTTGCTGTAGTCTTATGAGATATTGATATCTGCTAGTTATTTGAGTAAAAACTGGGGGTGGGAAATTGGTTAGTGCTATGCCACACACACAGTTGTCCAATCTGGAAACCTTTGACTGTTTCGTCTCTCAACCCCTAAATCTAATTGATTTTGCAATCCTATATGTTCTACCTTACTGCTATCTCACAAATCTCACCTTTCTGGGTTCCAGTTGTCATTGCCTCTGCTCATGCCCTCATTAGCAATTAAGTGGATTTGTGTTTTAGGCTCCGGGCTAACGCCCCCTTCCTTCTGTCCTAGTCCCGTCTAATTCACCTTTTGTAGAACCAGAGTTATCTTTCCAAAATTTAGAAGTGATATGATTCACTTCTATATTTAGAACGTTCAGTAGATTGGCATAACCTTCCCATAAAATCCAAATTCCTTAACTTTGGATACAAGATCCTTCATAATCTGAACCATCTTCTCCATAATCATTTCCGGAATACCCCATAAAACCAAATTACCTAGCAATTGTCCATCATTCAGACAAATACTATTTCCTGATTCTCATGTATCTCTATATTATCCTGTGCTTGGCAGTGATACTGTGCGCATCTGGACAGGTGAGTTCTTCCCAGGCTTGTTTGTGAGCATGCAATGAATGTTCATGTGTGTGCACTGTTTGTACAGGAACATGTTGAAGAAGGCAGAGCCAGTCTCTACAAGTCTGTGGTTTCCAACAGCTGCAAGGAGATGTCTTGTTACTCCGACTTTCCATTCCCAGAAGATTATCCAAACTATGTGCCAAATTCTCAATTCCTGGAATATCTCAAAATGTATGCAAACCACTTCAACCTTCTGAAACACATTCAATTCAAGGTAAGACACAAAACATCAGTTAGTAGTCAGAAAGTATTTCCTACATATTTTCTCTTATCTCTCCAGCCTAGCCATGGGCTCTGTAGATGAGATACTAAACTGGCAATTATTAATGACACCTGACTGGATTTATTTTCTCCCTATACTCACTCCCCACTTCAAGTAAATCTGGAGGTGGGGGTGGATACTTTGTGTAAAGGTTCACAAATATAAAATTTTAGTTTGCAATACTTATATCCAAGTATCTTAGAGAACCTAAAAAATATCAAGCCACATTTTCAGCTTGGGCCAAATGCCTACCCACATGGACACTGAGAACTACCAGCCCTTTTCCCCAGTCTCCTGTTTGGTTTTGTTTGTTTGTTTGTTTGTTTGTTTGTTTTGAGACAGGGTCTCACTTTGTTGCCCAGGCTGGAATGCAGTGGTGTGATCATGGCTCACTGCAGCCTGGACTTCCTAAGCTCAGGTGATTCTCATACCTCAGTCTCCTGAGTAGCTGGGAACACAGATGCACACCACCACACCCAGCTAGCTTTTTATATTTCGTAGCAATGGGGTCTCACCATGTTGGCCATGCAATCTCAAACACCTGAGCTCAAGCAATCTCCTGCCTTGGCCTCCCAAAGTGCTGGATTACAGGCATGAGCCACCACTCCCAGCTCCCACTCTCTTCTTGACTATCCTTTTATAGGAATGAACATGTGCAGTGGCCCATACACAAGAGAACCTTGCTATGTGAAGGAAATCTTTTCTAGATATTCTTGAAAATAGAAAAATCTTTGAATGTCGTTATTCTACAATGCCCTGTTCCTCTCCCATTTCAGAGGTTAGAGACAGGAGGAAGGTGGTAGGACAGGGACAAATGAATAATATATCCTTTTTGTCCTCTTTTTTTCCCCCTTTTTTTCTCTGTTTCCTCTCCAAGAAACATATGAAAATCTATGTTTCCCTTCTCCTTTCTCCCTCCCCTATCAGAGATGAGGATGATGAGGAATTCACAGAAAATTATACATAGAAAGCAACAGAAATGGAGACATTGACCAAAACAAGTGGAAAATAAAATTTACATTCACATTCCTGACCTTAAAAGCCCTCTGATATGGTTTGGCTGTGTCACCATCCAAATCTCATCTTGAATTTCCACATGTTGGAGGAGGGACCCAGTGGGAGGTAATTTAACCATGGGGGCAGGTCTTTCCCATACTGTTCTCCTGATAGTGAATAAGTCGCATGAGATCTGATGGCTTTAGAAGGCGGAGCTTCCCTGCACAAGCTCTCTCTTTGCCTGCCGCCATGCACATAAGATGTGACGTGCTCCTCCTTACCTTCTGCCATGATTGTGAGGCTTCCCCAGCCATGAGGAACTATGAGTTCTCCATTAAACCTCTTTCCTTTGTAAATTGCCCAGTCTCTGGTATGTCTTTATCAGCAGCATGAAAACAAATATAGTAAATCGGTACCAGTAGAGTGGGGAGTTGGTGAAAAGATACTAAAAAATGTAGAAGTGACTTTGGAACTGTGTAACTGGCAGAGGTTGGAGCAGTTTGGAGGGCTCTGAAGAAGAAAGGAAAATGTGGAAAACTTTGGAACTTTGTAGAGACTTGTTGAATGGCTTTGACGAAAATGCTGATAGTGATATGAACAAAAAGGTCTGGGCTGAGATGGTCTCAGATGGAGAGGAGGAACTTGTTGGGAACTGGAGTAAAGGTGACTCTTGTTATAGTTTTTTGTTTGTTTGCTTGTTTGTTTAAAAGAAAAATCTGCAATTATTAGTTTATTAGTATCATCCAGGACTCAGATGTTCAGTATTCCTCCTGAAATTACATAAACAAATGCAAATGGAAAGAATCCAAGTCAAAATTCTGTAACAAAACAGCACTCCATCACAAAAGCATGTAAAATTACAAGAATGCTATTTTAAAATACTGGCACTTTAAGAAAACCATAATCTTGAAAACCTCAAAATTGCCAAATTGTTCCCTAAACTGCTAAGCAGATAAACATGACTAATGAATGAGTTTGTTTTGTAAAGAAAAATCATTCAAATAAATTGAATAATTCATACTGAGATGCAAAGTTTAAGTGTCTTCTTTCCTTCTATTTGGATTTTTGATGGGGCAAACCATAATATAGGAAAATATATGCTGTTTTGAATGTGACATCTTGGTTTTAAAAGTTGGCCCAATTAATTAAAAATACTTTTAATGGAAAGTCTCATTTCCTGAGCAGTCCATATTTAGATAAATGGGAAAAGACATCTATAGCCAGCATTTTTGTAGTCTTCACTGAGACTAATGTCAACAAAAAGTGTAATACAGCAGTCTTGTATTTTAAGCTCATGCTTTTGGGGATACATTCGCAGGTCTTCTTTAATGTGGGAACTGCAAGATATAACTGCCATTACATGGTAATGGGAGTTAAAGAATAGAGTCCTCATGTAAACGTTAGAACATACTTTTCTATTACTCCTTCAAGGACAGACTTTCAAAATGTTTGATTCTAATAATCCCATGCTTTGAGTAGATTGATTACTCTTCAGTTTGTAAATATAAGTGGGCTATGTTAAATTTCTTAACTGATCAAGATTTTGGATGTTCAGTTATGGATGAAAACTATCTCAACTTAATTTTACCCCCATATGATATGCAGGGTGTGTAGACAAAAGCTTTTAATTAGCTAACTATATGAAAGGATAAACACTGTAATAATTCATGTGATTCAAAATGGGCAAAAGCAAAGACTAGCTTCCTCTCAAGAAGAAAAATTTCAGACCTATGAAAAGGACAACAATACTAATAAAAAGACTGTATTTACTTAGAAGCATTCAGAATGTAAACAAAACAGCCGAAACTTTTTTTTTTTTTTTTTTGCAATTACAGAGTGGTATTCAGTTAATAGAACAACAATTATTTCATATAAACTGCATCAGAGACAACTGAAGACGAAAAAACTACAACCCCCATATATAACTAATTTGCGCTGTGCACCAACAAGAACCTGCTTTAAATTTCCATGCCAATTTACAACCCTCATACTATACCAGGCAAGGTTAGGGGCTATTGAAAATACCACCAGGACAGGGCTGTCTAAAGACACATTCGGTAGTGTGTTAACTATACAAAAAAAGACACTGTACAGTTTAAAAACAAATCCTACACAGCCTTACATTTCAATTTTTAAAGGAGTGAGTTGTGTACAGGGGAGTTAAATGCTTTATAGACAAGAGAAAAACTGTGCTAGAACCAACTTATTCATCATCTTCTTCATCTTCATCTTCCTCCTCCTCATCATCCTCTTCATCTTCCTTATCTTCCTCTTCATCCTTCTTTTTCTTGCTTTATTCAGCCTTGACAAATCCCTTTTTTGCTGCATCAGGCCTTCCTTCAGCTCTATATGCAGCAATAACCTTTTTGTATTTTTCCTTCAGCTTCATAGCCTTCTTTTCACAAGGCTGCTTGTCATCTGCAACAGTGTTATTCCACATCTCTCCCAGTTTCTTCACAACATCACCAATGGGCAGGCCAGGATGTTCTCCTTCGATATTTGGGTGATACTCAGAGCAGAACAGGAAAAAGGCTGAAGGAGGCCTCTCGGGTGCATTGAGATCTTTGAACTCCTTTCCTGTTGATAGGTTTTCATTTCTCTTTCATAACGGGCCTTGTCCACCTTTGCCATATCTTCAAATTTTCCTTTCTCCTTAGCAGACAAGGTCTTCCACCACTCTGGGCACTTCTTAGAAAGCTCTGAGAAATTGACTGAAGCATCTGGGTGCTTCTTATGCTTCTCCCTACAAGTTTGCACAAAAAATGCATATGATGACATTTTGCCTCTTGGCTTCTTAGGATCTTCTTTGCCCATGTTTAGTTATTTTTCCTTAGCAAGGCACAGAGTTGCCCAGTGCCCATCCGGCTCTCACTTGCCCCAGCACTGTCTCTATGGAGCTCATTGTACTGCCTCTTCTTATGTTCTAGCAATGAGACTGGTGGCATTTTGCTCCTGCCCTAGAGATTTGTGGAACTTTGAACTTGAGAGAGATGATTTAGGGTATCTGGCAGAAGAAATTTCTAAGCAGCAAAACAATCAAGAGGTGACTTGGGTGCTGTTGAAGGCATTCAGTTTTAAAAGGGAATCAAAGCATAAAAGTCCAGAAAACCTGCAGCCTGACAATGCAATAGAAAAAAAAATCTTATTTTCTGAGAAGAAATCCAAGCCAACTGCAGAAATTTGCATAAATAACCAGGAGCCCAATGTTAATCCCCAAAGCAATGGGGAAAATGTCTCCAGGGCATGTCAGAGGTCTTCACCACAGCCCCTCCCATCACAGGCCTGCAGGCCTAGGAGGAAAAAGTGGTTTCATGGACCAGGCCCAGAGTCCCCATGCTGTGTGCAGCCAAGGGACTTGGTGCCTGAATCCCAGCTGCTCCAGCTATGGCTAAAAGGGGCCAACATAGAGCTCAGGCAGTGACTTCAGAGGGTGCAAGCCTGAAGACCTGGCAGCTTCCACGTTGTGTTGAGCCTGCAAGTGCACAGAAGTCAAGAACTGAGGTTTGAGAACCTCCACCTAGATTTCAGAGGATGTATGGAAATACCTGGATGTGCAGGCAGAAGTTTGCTACAGGGGCAGGGATCTCATGGAAAACCTCTGCTAGGGCAGTGCAGAAGGGAAACGTGGGGTCAGAGCCCCCACACAGAGTCTCTACTGGGGCACTACCTAGTGGAGCTGTGAGAAGAGGGCAACCGCCCTTCAGACCCCAGAATGTCAGATCCATGTGCTTGGAAAAGCTGCAGACACGCAATGACAGCCTGTGAAAGCAGCCAGGAGGGAAGCTGTACCCTGCAAAGCCACAGGAGCAGAGCTGCCCAAGACCATGGGAACCCAACTCTTGCATCAGCGTGACCTGGATGTGAGACATGGAGTCAAAGGAGATCATTTTGGAGCTTTAAGATTTGACTGGCCTGCTGGATTTCAGACTTGCATGGGGCCTGTAGCCCCTTTGTTTTGACCAATTTCTCCCATTTGGAATGGCTGTATTTACCCAATACCTGTATCCCCACTGTATCTAGGAAGTAACTAACCAACTTTTGATTTCGCAGGCTCATAGGTGGAAGGGACTTGCCATGTCACAGTTGAGACTTTGGACTGTGGATTTTTGAGTTAATGCTGAAATGAGTTAAGACTTTGGTGGGGACTGTGACTGTTGGGAAGGCATAATTGCTTTTGAAATGTGAGGACATGAGATTTGGGATGGGCCAGGGGCAAAGTAATATGGCTGGGCTGTGTCCCCACCCAAATGTCATCTTGAATTCTCACATGTTGTGAGAGGGGCCCAGAGGGAGGTAACTGAATCATAAGGGTAGGTCTTTCCCATGCTGTTCTCATGATAGTGAATAAGTCTCACAAGATCTGATGGCTTTATAAGGCAGAGTTTCCCTGCACAAGCTCTCTCTTTGCCTGACATAATCCATGTAAGATGTGACTTGCTCCTCTTTGCTCCTGCCGTGATTGTGAGGCTTCCCCAGCCACATGAAACTGTGAGTTCTCCATTAAACCTTTTTCCTCTGTAAATTGCCCGGTCTCTAGTCTGTCTTTATCAGCATTGTGAAAATGGACTAGTACATCCTCCTAAACAGATTTCCAAAGAGTATTTTATTCCACTTCCTTATTTTGCAATGGATACAGTAAAAATAAAGCATTATCATAATGAATATATGCAACATATAAAAATCTTCTTTTTAATGCATCAGAATTTCTGAATTTGAAGCACTTCCTTTACTACATGCTGCCCAAGACCTTTTTTATTTTGTTGTTGTTGTTTGAAACAAAGTCTCACTCTGTCACCCAGGCTGGAGTACAGTGGCAGGATCTTGTCTCACTGCAGCCTCTGCCTCCTAGGCTCAAGAAATCCTCCCACCTCAGCCTCCCAAGTATTAATAGCTGGGACTACAGGCACATACTACCATGCCCAGCTAATTTTTTTTTTAACTTTTAGTAGAGATAAGGTCTCACTATGCTGCCCAGGGCGGTCTTGAACTCCTGAGCTCAACCTATCCTCCTGCCTTGGCCTCCCAAAGGGTGGGGATTATAGGCATGAATCACTGTGCCAGGCACTAGGCCATTTTAGAACAATTTTTAAAAAGCTAGATGTTCGCCAATGTTTTAACAAGTAAACACAAGGCCAGGTGTGGTGGCTCACTCCTGTAATCCCAGCACTTTGGGGGGGTCAAGGTGGGTGGATCACGAGGTCAGGAGATCAAGACCATCCTGGCTAACACGGTGAAACCCCATCTCTACTAAAAATACAAAGAATTAGCCAGGCATGGTAGCACGTGCCTGTAGTCCCAGCTACTCAGGAGACTGAGGCAGGAGAATCACTTGAACAGGGAAGCGGAGGTTGCAGTGAGCCGAGATTGCACCACTGCACTCCAGCCTGGGTGACAGAGCAAGACTCCATCTCAACAAATAAAAAAAGTAAACACAAATAGTTATTACTCAAATGTGATCTGTAGTTGATTTTGTTTGGTTTTGCTTCTCATTCCTTTCTATATATTCTAAATTTTTAATGACAAACTTTTTTGGGGTGGGGGACAGGGTCTCACTCTGTTGCCCAGGCTGGAGTGCAATGACACTATCAGGGCTCACTGAAGCCTTGACTTCCCAAGCACAGGTGATTCTCCCTTATCAGCCTCCTGAGTAGCTGAGACTACAGGCATGGGCCACCACACCTGGCTAATTTTTTTGTATTTTTTTGTAAGGATGGGGTTCTGCCATGTTGCCTAGGCTACACATTTATTATTTTTATCATTAAAAATAAATATATTTTGAAGGATTTTAAACTAACTGAAAATTTAGTTTTAGAAAAAACAGTTGCAATACAAATGTAGAAACACAATAAGCACTTCAAATAGTATAAACCAAATAGTGAACCCATTAAGAGGGACTTAAGAAGCCTATATTATTTAAAACTTTAAAGAGAAAGAAAGATACGAAGCCTTTTGGTCAGTGAATAATTTATCCTTTTAAATTTGATTTGTCTGAGATTTATTGTACATATATTTCCTGAACTAAAGCCCAGTAATCATGTACATACATGTACTCACTAAGCGCAAAAAATAGATTCTTTGAAATGAGGACTACTCTCAAAAAAATTCAGGCCATAATGTTAGCACTTTTCAATTGCTTTCTAGTTCTGGAAAATATTCTATATTTCAGCAACATATTCTATAAAACCTCATAAGCTAATATAACCAGGACCAAATTCGTGTTTTCAATTATATCTTACCCATGTATCTGTCAAAGGAATTATTGTTAAAGAGACAGCCCATGAGAAATAAGGTTGCATAACAGAAAGAATAATGAAAAAGGCATCAGAAACTTAGGTTCTAATTCTGATCCTATCAGTGAGAATTTGAGCAAATCACTTAAAATTTTTGGATGCCACCACTTGTCTTAGATATCTCTCCAAGCTTAGACTACTTCCATCTAGGGAATCACGATTAGTCTGGTAACCTGATTAGGTTTCTAGGGTTATACTTATTAACTATGTTTATTCTGTGTTCTAGAACTTTTAAAATGTCATTGGTACATCAACTGGCAAGTGCTTAATTGACAACTGCTAATCATATCTGTGATTCCTTTTTCAGACCAAAGTCTGCAGTGTAACAAAATGTTCAGATTTTACTGTCTCTGGCCAGTGGGAGGTGGTCACTATGCGTGATGAGAAGCAAAAGTCAGCCATCTTTGATGCTGTCATGGTCTGCACTGGCTTTCTTACTAACCCTTATTTGCCACTGGACTCCTTTCCAGGTACAGCATTTTCTGTAACTAACTGTAAGTTTTCTTATGGGAGCCATTCTGCTGCTTGATTGGTCTGGGAATGAATTCCTATGGCTGTTCCATTAAATAGTTAAAGTTGGGAGGTAACAGGAGGCTTTTTTTGTTTTGTTTTGTTTTTTCTAGCCAGCATTTTCTGGCCAGTTTTTGGTTTTCATTTGTTCCAAACAATCTATGAATACATAAGAGCAAAATGGATAACTTTATAAGCAGTTTTATGCTTTACCAAGATTCAGTGTCCCTCAAGTGACTGGTAGCACTCAGAAAGTCTCCTAAGACATGGGATGCTTACACAAGTTGTTAACCTCAGCAGCAGGTACACATTGCCAAAGTTGAGTTTAGAGACCACAAAAGTCAATCTGTGAATAAAGAAAAAAGTAATTTTTCCTATTTGTTTCTTTTATGTGAGTGATAGCAATTAGATTAGAGGTTTACGGCACTGCTCAATAGTCAACAGGGAGATTAGTCTTGGGAGACAAGTTAAGACATCTTTGGGTCTCAGTTTCCTTATCTGCCTTTTGCAACCATGGTCATGTTAATCTATGCCAAATTTTAACTGGATTTTAACTCAATGGAACAGAAAATGTAACGGTTTCATTTATTTCATCTGTAACAAGCATTCAAAAAGTTAAAACTTCAAGAAACTTTTCTCCAAATCATCTAATGATTGCCTAGAATGATCCCAAGACTCATCTTACCACAATAAATTTATAAACATGCTGTGATTCTGGATCTGCCCCCAGAGGTCAGTCAGATCAGGTTAGATTAGGATAAAGCATATCCTGAAAATTTCCAGAGAATAGAATCATTGACTTGGAAAGAAGCAAGTTAAGTCTTCTTCCCAATGCAGGAAATTATTTTTCAGCAATTCTGAGAGAGGTTCCATAGCCTCTTCTTGAACCCATTCAATAATGGACTCTCATCATCACAGAAGACAACCCAATTTTTTGTCATTCTTTCCTGCAGAGCAAGGCTCTGAGCAGCCATCCACTCCAAAATTCCAGAAAGGAGTACCTAGTCACCTCAAGAATCCAGAAAGTTCCATGGCATAGGGAGTAAACTACATTCATTCAGCACTTACAGTATATTGCACTAGGTGCTAAGAATATAGAGGTGAATAACGCAACATGTAACCTGTATTGGAGGAAAGAATCGAGTTTTATGAAGTCCAGTGGAGAAATCACAGTCTACATATGACCTGTAGTGATTCCAATACCATAAACATACACCTCTCATGGTCCTGGATTTGCCCCCCAAAGTCACACAAGTTTACATCAGATTAAAATAATAAAGCACACCTGAGAGCAATTGAGCCAATATGCTCAGTTTGAGTAGAAGAGATAGGGACCCAGCAGGTATGAATTCTGGCATACACAACCACCTAGCTGTTACTCTTGAGTCTTCCACTTAACCTTTCTAAGCCTCAAATTCACCCACAAATTGAAGAGCTTGGATTACTTTAACCAACAGTATACATCACAAATCAAGCAAGAAGAGCTCTAAAAGACTTGCAATCTTTCTTAAAACCCATCTTATCAACCACTACCAATTTAAAATCCCTGGCTAAATGATTAAGGAGTCTTTGAGCTCTGAAATTCTGTGATTTTTAGACTTGAAGAGGAGTTCTCCCAACCTCTCTATCTCCTGACTTACAGCAGGCTTGCTTAGATGGCACATACTCCTTGCGATGGTTGTTAACTGTCATAAAAATTCAAATTCACTAAAGATGTTCAAAAATATGTATCACAAGCTCTAGAAGCAATTCCAAAGAAGTTGTGCTAAAAAGTCTTAGAAAAAATAATAGGTATCAGTTAGAATAAACGTATGATTTCCCAAGATGACTACTTTTATCATTCACATATATACATTCTGCTATTTACCTTTTTTCTTTTTTATATACAATTGTTTTTTCTTAGATAGGATATTCTGCTACTTACTAACACAGCCACATTTACCGCGTGTAAGTTCTTACTCTGTCTTCCTGTGAGATAAGAGAAAGTATTAGTCTGTTAAGAGACAGCCACAGAGTCTCATTTTTGTCCATTTGTGACTCCCCCAAAAAAGCCCATCCAAAGAGAATCTAAAATAACATGAGATTCAGGGATAATTCTATGTTTCTGTTTAGACTTTTCCAGCTCTTTCTTCTCAACAGTTCTCTGATCCATATTGGGTTCCTGTGCTGAATAAATATTGGAACTTGGTTGCATCCTTGCTGAATTCCAAATGCTCTGTGTTGTGGTTAGGTTTTAACTTGGATTCATGTTAGATTTCTACTAATTCAAGGTGAGCTAAAGAGCCAGCAGGCCTTGTAAGGTCACTCCCCACAAGTATATACATTTTTCCCCTGAGAATCTAGAGGTCTTATTACTTTTTTTAGGAAAAAAGAAGTTCTTTCTTTAGTACAAATTACTTCTGATTATGTAATGTAGTCTTAAGAGTATTTTCTGCTTAAATTATTGCTGTTAAAAAAAGGAGTATTTTCAAACATTCTCCATTCATGTGATGTTTCAATAAGATTCAGCATCACTGCCTAAGGTATCCTATCGAGTCAGCCCAGTAGATTGAATCCTGGTGTAACTGACATAATTCCTTTTTCTCTGAGCCAACTCTGGCCCACCCAGCAAACTTAGCCTGAGTTACAGTCAGTCACCAAGTGAACTTCCCCAACTGACATGAAACTTTGTGAATAGGGACAACATTTTATTTATCTTATTCCCCCCATACCATCTAGCACAGTACCAGGCATATAGCAGAGGTCAAAAAGTTTTCTGAAAAGAGACACTGACTCACAGTTCCCTTAAGCTTCCTTGTCCTTGCTCCTTGCTTATGAAAAGCTTATATAAATCAAGTATTAATCAATAGAATATTAATGTCCTGTAAAACTGGAGGCCTATCTAGTGAGATGGAGTAATGACCCCCATTAAATAATTACCTGCCAATGTCTTGTAAAGTCATGTATTCATATTTCATATTTTCTCAGACTTGAGAAAACTAGTAAAAATGACCAAGATCATCTGTCAAAAGAATTTTATCAACTGAAAAATATTTATGTTTCATTCACTGATCCTGTAAATTCTCTATGTGACTTCTCTTTTATTTTCTATAGGTATTAATGCCTTTAAAGGCCAGTACTTTCATAGCCGGCAATATAAGCATCCAGATATATTTAAGGACAAGAGAGTCCTTGTGATTGGAATGGGAAATTCTGGCACAGACATTGCTGTGGAGGCCAGCCATCTGGCGGAAAAGGTACCATTCCTGATGTTACTGGGTGAAGAGCTTTATCTTAAGATGCAGGCAAATGGTGTTTGACACCGTGATAAATGTTAAAGGAATAAAATGCCTCACACACACACAACAGATTACTAAAGAATTTAATTTTTACTGAATGTTCACAAATTTTTCTATGAATCACAGTTGTCATCTTTGCTCCAAAACCAACTTCTCTGACTCCTTTTTACTGTTTTTTTTTTTTTTTCATCATTTTCCCAGCCATCCAACAAGAGCTACAGGACATATTTTTTCCCTACTCAGTCCCATAGGCCAGAACATTCTACCAACTTTTTCCTGCTACTATCTCCCATTTGCCCCTTCCTCTCCTTATTAATTACCAACACCCTCATCGGGTCCATACCACCTCACACTGAGGATATTGCATTGTCCCCCCAATAATAATTGTAGAAATAGTTAATATTTGTTAGGATTATTCTGTGGCCAGCACTGCAGTAAATGTGTTTTCACTGCACTACTTTAACCAATCATCAAAACAAGGCATTGAAGTAGGTACTGTTAGTATCCTTGACTGCACATGAGGAAACCAAGACTTAAAGAAGTTAAAGAACCTACCTAAAATCTTATCACCAGCATGTGGCAGAGCCAGTTCTCAAACCCAAGTCTCTTTGACTCAAAGCCTATGTTCCTAACTATCCTCTTCTACATGCTACCTTCAGGCTTCTCAAGGGTTTTGCCCTGCATTTCATTTTTGCCTTGTACCACTACTCACAGGTCACTGCCACCCAGCACAAGCCATCTAGACCCCAACTACCAACAAACAAATCCTCAGAAAAGCCTGCTCTTATTATAGCACTCTCATGCTGAAAAACCTCTAATTATTCTCTTTACCTGAAAAAAATAAATTACAGATGTAGTGGCTCTGCATCAGAGAGTTTTCTATAATCTGGACCAAATCTGCCATTTTAATTTTAACTTCTGTTTCCTACATGATGATCAACTGTAGCACTTTCCAGTTCCTGTCTTTAGTTCCGCTTTGATCACGCCACCCCTCTCTCTTCTGCAGAGCCCCTTTCTCTTCTATTACAATCTACCTTTACATTCTCAGATATCTCACTCCAGCATGAAGGGATCTCTCCCTATTCAGAATTTATGTAATATTGTAATTTCACCAGTTTTCACTTTTAAATTCTTAATATTGCAAATTACCTTTTATCATATACATCTTCTTTTCAACTATGCTGTAAACTCATTGAGGGCCATTCAGCTGACTAATATATACAAGTTGCTGGCATCTCATGTGCCAAACATTGTGCCAGGCTCTGGAGATACACTGGCAAACACAACCAACAAAATCAAGACACCCACTGTCATGGAGCTTATAGTTGTGGGAAAAACAGATGCCAAATAAACAAGTGTAAATAATTAGACCAATAATTTCAGAAGTGAAAACAGCTGTCAAGAAAAAAGGTTGGAGGCGTGTAACATTGATATCTCTTTTCCGGACTTTCAAAACAAGGCTCGATGATTGATTCATTCATTGAAAGATTGTATTTTGTTGGTTTTTTTATTGTTGTTATAGAGACGGGTTTTCGCCATGTTGGCCAGGCTAGTCTTGAACTCCTGACCTCAAGTGATCCACTCACCTTAGCCTCCCAAAGTGCTAGGATTACAGATGTGAGCCATTGTGCCTGGCCCATTGACTGATGGGTTGATTGATTTGTAGAAACTTAGCAATTTGGTTGGCATTATCCTAAAGAAAGAGAAAGGAGGCCCTGAAACAAATATTAACATAGGCCCATCCACTGTGACCATCACATGTGCATATCATTATTTCTGTTTCTCTAATTGTTCAGAAATGTCTTCAGTCAGAAAACATGCTTTGACATACATCTTATCATTTATCTATTAACAAAGAAACTCCCTGTAGCTTAGAAGATCATTCACATCTAGCAAAATGTTGTATCCAATTCTGCATCAAGACAGAGAGAGGCAGGTTTAGTGCAAACGCCTCATGTCAGAACCACTGATGTATCTGTAGTTCTTGCCACCGCATTTCCAGTGTTGTCTTTCCAGTTCCATTATGAGGCCAAAGAAAATATATAACACAAACACGGATGCTGGAGCTGTGGCCATCATGCCCCAGTTTGGGGGGGGGGGGGGGGGGGGGGAGAAACAATCTGTTAAATCAGCTGTTTTGTATCAGCAAAGTAACAGTTTGCTTAACTATTTTCTTTGTAAGCAATTGTACAGGAAACTCCTTATTGTGCAAGTACTAAAACTATTAGCTTCATGAACTCCATCAACTGGTAAACTCAAGCAGCCAATGTTATAAAGAACAAACACCAAAAGTAATAGTAGCACAGAATTTGTCAGTTAAGCCAATGGTTTGCACTGAAACTCTGTAGACAACTCTGATACTGCCATGCCCTGTTCTTACTGCCTACAATTATAGTGAGCTCACAAAGTAGCAATCACTTGTTCATTGTTTCCTTAGATAGACTTTAGGTCCCTATGGTTTGCTAAACGCTGGCAGATAATAAGTATTCAATAATATGTCTTAAGGCACTTTAACACTCTAGATGCTCTGAATTCTAATCTCAAAAGGATTGACTTTAAAATAGAAGTTAGAAGACCCAAGACTATCTTGTCAGGGATGTATTTTCAGAGTGGCAGACTTTTCAGCGCCTTTCCATTCATGGCACTTCTTGAATCTCTGGCAGAACCAGCCAGGCCTTTTCACAGTGTCTAATGAAGGAATGTCTTTGATTGCTTCCAGGTGTTCCTCAGCACCACCGGAGGGGGATGGGTGATCAGCCGAATCTTTGACTCAGGCTATCCATGGGACATGGTGTTCATGACACGATTTCAGAACATGTTGAGAAATTCTCTCCCAACTCCAATTGTGACTTGGTTGATGGTGCGAAAGATAAACAACTGGCTCAATCATGCCAATTACGGCTTAATACCAGAAGAGAGGTAAATATAATGTGACTGCCAAGGGCTTTCAGGAAGGAGGAGCCTCGGCCTTTCCAGCAGTCTGTACAAGCCAGGCAGTACCATAGCAACATGACTGAATGTGTTGGAACACTTGATACAAAGTTGCTCGATAATAACAGCTAACTGTTCTTAAGTGCTCAGAAAGTGAAATTATGTATTTCACCTTGTCAGCAACACTTTAAGTATTATTATAATAATCCTTTTATTATGGAGAAACTGAAACAGCAAAATTTAGCCATTTACCCAAGCTCGCTGAGTAGTAAATGAACTCTGTGACCTTGCAAGTTACTTGAGCCTCAGCTGTAGCAAAAAGAGAATGATTTGTCTATGACTTTGTTGACAAAAGAAACACACTTGCCTAGTTTCACTGTGTGGGAAAAACCGAATCCCACAGTTGCCCCTCACCATCTCTCTAATGGTAGAGCCTTCTTCCCTTTGTCAAGATTGACCTTGGCCCCAAAAATGGTTCAGCTTATACAAGATCAACTCACAAAGTGTTTGTCTTGTGATTCCAAAGGTATAGCCAGAAAAAGATAATTCTGCCCTTGTTCCTTTAAATACGTCCATGTTTCCCTTATACAGCTGCTTCCTAGGAAGACACTAGAGCTTTCAGAAGTTCTCATCTAATCTAGAAGTCCCTGGTTTCCCTTGTAGCCCTTCAGCTCTTAACCCTCTCTAGAATGACAGTGATAGATGAATGCTGAAAATCAACAAGAGAAACAGAAGTTAGAAAAGGTGCTGGCTTCCTCCTCAGGCTTGCAAACTCTAGTAAATAGCAAGCATATTTTATAATCCTTCTTGAATATTCATTAATCCCCTTCCACTGAAGTAACATCCCCCAAGACTTGCAGCAATTCTTGTCCAACCAAGGAGAGAGCCCCAGAATGAGAGAGGAAGGTAAAGAGAAGGGAGAGCTGGCTGCATTGTTCACTGACAGGTCTCCTCCCTGTCCATGTTTTTGTTTAGGACTCAGCTGAAAGAGTTTGTACTAAATGATGAGCTCCCAGGCCGCATCATCACTGGGAAAGTGTTCATCAGGCCAAGCATAAAAGAGGTAAAGGAAAACTCTGTCATGTTTAACAACACTTCAAAGGAAGAGCCTATCGATATCATTGTCTTTGCCACTGGATACACATTTGCTTTCCCCTTTCTTGATGAGTCTGTAGTGAAAGTTGAAGATGGCCAGGCCTCACTGTACAAGTATATCTTCCCTGCACATCTGCAAAAGCCAACCCTGGCCATTATTGGCCTCATCAAACCCTTGGGCTCCATGATACCTACAGGAGAAACACAAGCTCGTTGGGCTGTTCGAGTCCTGAAAGGTAAGTGGAAGAAATAGCAGGGCACGTGTTTTTGGTTTGTCATGTGATTCTGGATACTGGAAATGTTGAAACTATTATCCAGCTTCTATTTAAAATAACAGAATCTTTAAAAGCAGGATGCATTCTATTGTTTGCTGAATTATACTGTCATAATGATGTGTTCCATTACCAGCATAAATGGTATATCAGGGTCAAAAATATAGGCTGTATCTAAGTCTACTGTTATATTTTTTCCTTTTATTTTTAAGAGACAGAGTCTCACTATCTTGTCCAGACTGGTGTGCAGTGGCTATTCATAGGCATGATCATAGATTACTGCACCATCAAAGTCCTGGTCTCAAGCAATCTTCCTGCCTCAGCCTCCTGAGTATCTGAGACTACCGACATGCACACTGCACCCAGCTACCTGTTATTTTGAATAAAGCAAAATGACAGGTAACAGTTCTGTCAGTTGACTAAATCAACTGGCTCAATTAAAAATTTTAAACTCAAGCAACTGAATGACAAAAGTCAGCCAAACTAGTTGTGAGATTCTGCTATGTCAAATAACTAGTGAGATGACCAGATGCTTATCTTTTCAGCTGATGGCATTATTACCAGGCTTTCCAACCAGTCAGCTGAGGCTGCTAACATTTTTGCCGGAAGGGTCAATGAGTAGGTGGTACTGGACATGAAACGAGAGCCATAGTAAAGCATCTTTATCCATAAGTCAACAACTAGACCTAAACTTAAGTTGCATTTTGGGTTTTTATTTTAATCCTACAGGTGTAAATAAGTTACCACCACCGAGTGTCATGATAGAGGAAATTAATGCAAGGAAAGAAAACAAGCCCAGTTGGTAAGTTAACTACTTATGCACCCTTTTTTAATTATAACTGAAATTTTAAAAAAAAAAATTGTAGAAGAGAGATGAAAGTTACATTGGAGAAAAAAAGAAGCATCTGAGACTTAGAAGAAAAATACTAGGAGAGCCTATTTAAGAAGAGAGAAGGGAAAGGGGAATTTAGAATTTTTAATATTCCCAAAGTCATCACTTCAGCCCATAGTTTTCTAGCATCACATAGAGTTTGGATTCCAATCCAAGTACTACATAATTAACCCTAATCTACCAGGTACGTTATTCCATGCCTTATCCATAATCAGCAGGCAAGCAGTTGTACCTATTTACTCTGACACTAGAAGTGTCTGCTCATTCATTCATTTATTGAATAAGTCTTTATCCGCTCTATTGTTGCTTTTGCTTTCCATTTTTAATTGACTGGAAAAAAGGAAGAAGAAAAATAAAATTTTGTGATATGTGGAAAATCACATGAAATGGAAACCATGTTGGCCTTAAATAAGATTTTGTTAGAACACAGCCATGTTTATTAATGTATATATTGTCAATGGCTGTTTTTGTGTTACAGTACCAAAGTTGTTTAGCAGTTGAGATAGAAACTGTAATGTGGCTCTCAAAGCCTGAGGCATTTACTGTCTGGACTTTTTCAGAATAAAGTTTATTGACCACTTCTCTGTGGGAAAGGTTTTTGCTTGTGCTGTGCTCTGTAGCTACCACTCAAGGCTGGAGACAATGGAAGGCTGATGGCCAGCAAAGTAGAGTCTTTGCCCTCCCCTCTCACTCTCAGTCCAACCAAAACATTTCTGATTGTACCCATTTTGCTTTATCTGTTCATCTGTTTCTGCATTTGATATATATTTTCACTTGAAATAAAGGTTCTGTGGCAAAAAAAAAAAGCAAGTTTTAAAATCATTGCATCTAAGGAACTTATTATCACTCTCTTATTCATATATATTCCCAAACTTCAAGGGTTGATTTATGCTTGTCAAAGTACCAAATTCCAAAACAATAATAGCATTTTAGATGTCTCTTCTTTATCAACCTGGGATGTGATTTGATCTTCATTATGGAACTCCAGTGTAATAGATAACTAGTTAGAACTGCTATACAATGAAAATCTTGTCACGCATGTCAGTAAACAATTTTAGGGGCCAGGTGCAGTGGCTCATGCCTGTAATCCCAGCACTTTGGGAGGCTAATGTAGGGGGATCATTTGAGCTCAGGACTTTGAGACCAGCCTGGACAACAGAGCAAGCCCCCATCCCTACAAAATAAAAGTTAGTTAGGCATGGTGGCTTATGCTTGCAGTCCCAGGAGGCTGAGCCAGGAGGATCGCTTGAGCTGAGGAGTTCAAGGTTGCAATGAGCTATGGTCATGCCACTGCACTCCAGCCTAGGTGACAGAGCAAGACCTTGTCTCAAAAAAAAAAAAAAAAAGAAAAACGAAATTAAAAGAGAAATTAATTAATTAATTAAAGCCTAATACCAGCATTTCAGGGAATTTTACCCTATGGATTTTTGTGGCTTTTCACATTATACAAATCACTGGATTTGTTATTACTGAATAATGGAATTTTATAAAGATTTAGAAATTTTAAAATGTATTTTCCTCTAGAAATTGCTAATTATTTCACAAAAGAACTAAGATGTATTATGAGCATTCAGAGCACCCATTAAAAGCCATATGTATAAAGTATCCTTTGAAGTCACTCATCTTGATTTAAGAAACAGAAGGCGACCATTAGATAGCTAGGGAAATAAAGGGGAAAATGCAGAAACCATCCCAAATTCTGCAGCAGTATTTGTTTGCTTTGGGCACTTGTACTTGTTCTAAGATTATCATTATTAATTTTTTCGTCTTCACCTTTTCCCCCAATTTTCCTTTTATAAAGGTTTGGCTTGTGCTACTGCAAGGCTTTACAATCAGATTATATCACATACATAGATGAACTCCTGACCTATATCAATGCAAAACCCAAGCTGTTCTCTATGCTCCTAACGGATCCACACCTGGCTCTGACCGTCTTCTTTGGCCCATGCTCACCATACCAGTTCCGCTTGACTGGCCCAGGAAAATGGGAAGGAGCCAGAAATGCCATCATGACCCAGTGGGACCGAACATTCAAGGTCACTAAAGGTCGAGTTGTACAAGAGTCTCCATCTCCCTTTGAAAGTTTTCTTAAACTCTTTAGCTTTCTGGCTTTGCTTGTGGCTATTTTTCTGATTTTGCTATAAGTGGAAGATTTCCTAAATGGCAGATGCACAGAGTAGATTTACAATGCTCCAATTCCTCTCTTACAGCAATATTGCCTTCACAGTTATAAACCATATTCACTAATAAAGGGCACACTCTCGCTTCCCTGGCTGGCCCCAGGGGTACCACTGGTATTCCTGAGGCTCTCCCAGCTCCACTATGTCTAACGCTAGAGAATGATAACTAAGATTTCTGTTCATTTGAAGGTTGTTGGAAAGTTACAGGTTCATTTTAGAAAGAAAGCTGTTCTTGACAGCACTCTGAGCCATCATACCTCTTTCCCATATAAACTATTTTCACAGATCTCAACTAAAACCCCTTACTTCACAAATGATTGTGTTGTGCTGAAATAGTGCTCTTCTTATAGTATTGGCTTATTAAAAGTAAAAAATAAACCTAGAAATTGATTGTTTCAAGTGATCTTTTGTTCTCTTATTAAAGGTTCAGAAAACAGAGAAAAAGATGAGGATTCTATGAATAAAGCCCATAAAAGGAGAGGGGGTTCAATGAGTTACTTTGAGAGTTTCCCAAAGGACTGTACCTGCCTGGGACTGTTCATTCCTCCTGAACACTCTTTATAACAAAGCTGGTACTCCAGCTGGCCTCCCAAAGACCTCAGTCATATTCCACAGAAAACCACCACCTCCATGGGCTCTTAGAGCCAGCCTCCAGCAGCCGAAGGAAAAATTCCACCTGCTTAGATCCTCCTTAGATTACCCTGCTGTAAGAGGCAAATTGAGCTGCCTCCTTTTAAAGAGTCAATGAGAACCAACCAAATTCAACTGGAATTCATTAGATAAAGAGCACAGCCAAGAAGCTTTTAACGGAGAGAAAGCAGGGAGAGGAAAAAAGGGAAAGAAAAAGAGGAACGAAAGCAAACATCATGTCAAAAGCAGCAGTTTTCAACCAAACTAGACCCAGCCTATCTCACAGTTACATCTGATGAAGATATGACTCATAACCAGGAAAGGCTTTGCTTCACTTCACTTCGTGGTTTATATGGAAAACCCTGTGCGTAAACCTCACCTCACAGAGAGGTCCACAGTTTGGATGCAGGGACAAGATTCAGAAACTGTGGAGTCAGGAAAGAGTGAACTCTATGGGGCCTGTATAGATACAGATCACTTCTCCCCAGCTTTGGTTGGCTCTGCCAACTCCTCAGTATTGTTCCATTTCTTACTTTTCCTCGTGACCTATTTCACTCTTACCACAAAAACTCATGATGAAGAATTACCCCCACTGCATACAATCTAGATTACTCCTAGAAATGCTTTTCCCTCCATTGAAACAAAGCTGATATTTTAACTTTCCTCATGAAGCTGACTAGGGGGGAAGTTTAGTGCCCAAGGTGAAACAGGGAAGGATAAACTCCCCAGGCTACAGTCCAAATCATGACACAAGCGGCCACCTGAACCTGATCGTATCCACTGCACTGGGAGACTGAATATACATACGGACAATGACCAGACCGTTTACAGCAATAGATTTCTAACCCACAACCCCTGCAGCAATCAGCTCAGAACAGTCAGGACTTGGTTAATGAGTGCCAGCTTCTCTACTTGTTGCCCCTGCTTCTAACTCAGCAGTGACCAAAGAAAGCCAAATAAGCTTCCCATACCAGTCCCATATGTTGTCTTGCTTCTAGTTAACCCACCTCCACCTTCCCCATGCCAACAACCACCAATGAGAGTACCTGAAGCCTTCCCTTTCTTTCACTATAAACACAAACACACACACACACACACACACACACACACGCAAAACCTCCCCTTTGAATCTGTGCCAAACATTAGTGGTGGTGCCAGCAAAAACAAAACATATATATTGTAAAGACTACAGCAGTAATTATAATGCTGCACATTTTATACTACTTTAAAATTAATAAAATACCAACTGTTATCTCACTTAATCCTCACAATAATTATGTGATTGGAAAGACGACTGTACTACATACACAATTTGACAAGTAAGAAAACTCAGACAAGGAGATGTCAATTGATTTGTCCCAGGTAACAGGTAAAATGTGGCTGAGTCAGAACACAAGACTCCAGAACATACATCATAGGCTCTTTACCATTTAAGCCCACAGTCTCCAATGTCCAAGTGACTCCGGAAGCCTTAGTAGTGATATCGCAAAAGCCGTATTACAAGAATGTTACTCCATGAAAGCATCTGTAAGTCTCTCTCCCTTTCTCACTCTTCCTATGAGTGCATGTGGACCTGTCCGCCTGTCAATTGTCAATAGTTCATGCTGTGCCTAGAATTTCATATCTTTCCCTTTATATATACCTTTCATTTCTGAATCCATGGGTTTGAATCTCCACATGCATCTTTTTCCCTACTTATTCCTCCCTTTTTTTTCCTGACTGTGGCTGTGCTAGGACTACTCTAGGACTATATTATAGAACAGACTCAAAAGAAAGAAAAGTTTCTCATTTCTAGTCTAGAAATTATTCCATGCACACTACTGAAAAAAGTATTTTTTTCTGTTCAGAAAATAAAAGAGTGAATTCTCATAAACCTAGCAAAATAAGAAATATGTAAAACATTTTGACATTACTCTGTTTCTTGCACACTATTTAAATCAGAAGAGCTTCTGAGGAATTTCATCACCAAGAGTAATTTTACGTTTTCTGAAATTATTTTTAATGTTTATTAATAGTACCCCCTGCTAGATCAGTCTTAAGTAAAATTACCTATCTTCTCATGTACCAATGCTCTGGGTCTTTCCACGTCCTGTCACTTGGAGATGCTTGGAGAACAAGCCCAGTGCTTAGGAGCAAGGGCCCTGCCACTTACTAGCTGTGTGACCTTGAGCAAGTCACTTACTTTTCCTAAGCCACAGTTTTCCCTTCTATAACATAGAAGTTATCTTCCGAACATTTATTTTGCCTCATAAGGGTGTTATGAGGATTAAATGGCATGATCCACATAAAGTACTTAGCATAAATACTGTACAAGGTATGTGTTCAATAAATGACAGCTATTATTACTATGTTACCTAAGCAAGATGTATGTTTTATCACCTGATTTATTTTTTCTAGGCCATAGACCTAGTTTCTCATAGGGCATTGACACCACAGTATGTCACAGGCCTCTCAAATGCAATATGCCCAAAATTAACCTCATTTCCCAACAGTCCTTATTTCCCCAACAGTCCTTACTTAACTACTGACGTCATCATCCTTATCCTCTGTAGGGAAGTAAAAAATTTCCATGAATAATTACACATTGACTAAGGACAATAATGAGGTTATCTGATTTTTATTCTATGGTAACTATTTTATAACTCAGTAAATTGTAGATAACTAATAGCAATGCAAAATAATTCTTGTCTATAGGCATGTAGATAATGTCCAGTAGAAGTCTAATTGGCGTCCCTTCCCCACTGTGCGGATAACTAGTTTTGCCTCCATTTGCACATTCATTTCAACATTCCTGATTTATACATGTGTATTTTATCTTTAAATTTCCTTTTGAACTGTTTTTAACATCTTACCAATTTCCTTTTTAATAACAAGTGAAATAAAATCTCTAACATGAGTCTATCTTATATTTGTATGAATCACCATTCTACTTTCTTTGAAAATTATCTTTTAACACCTCTTCCAAGGAATAGCAATACCATTTACTAATAGTTATGTTTCCACTGAAAGACATCACCTTTGAGACTCTGACCCTCGTGCCTCATATTCAACAGTCTATGAGCCTTATCAAGTGTGTCTCTAACACAGAGCAAAGACCACTGTGGTACCGAGTGCAAACACATGGGCTGTAGAGTCAGATGGCCCGGGTTGAATCCTACTTTGCTGCACAACCTTGGGCTAGTTATTTAGTGTCTTCTAGCTTCAACTCCTTTATCTGTAAAATATTGAAGTAACACTTTACCATTGCTATAAGGGAGAGTTAATGAAGATAATACATGTAAAGCATTTAGCCCAGTGCCTGGCACGTGGTCAGTGCTCACCTAAAGGTTAACTATTATTATCTCACAGACTCATCTCTCCCTTACCCTCCCTCCTTCCTCACTGGGTAGTTTAGGCCCATTTAATTTCTTGTCTAGGTTAGTGCTACCTGGCTTCCCTGGTCCTCTTGCCACCATTTAGTCCCTCTACTCCTGCTTCCCCCAGAATTTGTGGGTGATGCCATTCTCAGAAGCAGTCATAGTAAGAGGAAATAAAAATAAAGAGCTTCCTAGGCTCTCCTGACCTCAGTGTCCCTGTCTCAATCACTGCTTCCCAATTTAGGAAGTTTCACATGGGGGCTGTAAACAACTGAGAAAAACAACACCGTTTAGGGTTGTCCGGTCCCTCATGAGACAGAATACATTTTTTAACATATTCTAACTTGAGAGCACTTTGATTAAAAATGAATGAAGACTGCATTTAATTCTTCCTCTGAAAAAAGAAAACTTGGTTAGACATTTTAAAGTGGACCTAAATATTTTAAGCCAACAGGAAAAATATGAGATCAGCCTCTATTATTGAGCAAATTTCCCTACAGCGTAAAACTTATACTATTTAACTATACATTATTTTTGATTTCAGACATTCATTTTTGTGGAAGTATGAGCAGCCTTTATAAAGAGTATGCTTCTTATTAGAGTTATAGCCAGATTAGTAAACAGAAAAGGAGCCAGTGCAATATGAGGTTAGAAATAGGAGCTGATCTTAAATGCCGGCAGCAAAGGAGAATCCATGTTAACAAAATGCTCCTCTGCAAAAACCATACTATAAAATCCAGACATAAAAGGACTCAAAGGAAGATATTCCAGGCCATTAGGGGAGGAAAGTGGTCATTGTGGAATCAAAATGATACTAAATGTATTTGGGGGTGATTTGGCAATATTGTCCATAATTTTAAATACATGTATCCTTTGACACAATTATGTATCTGAGTCTATTCTATAGAAATTGTCATGTATACAAAGATATTTATACAAAGATGTTCATTGTCATATTGTTTGTAAAAACAAAAAAGTGTTGTCAATGAAGGAAAATGATGAGACAAGTCTCATTTCAAGGTTGTGAAATTTATTTAGTTACTAAAGGGTGTTAAATCAGACAAGGTAAGTGCTCTGTTCTTTATAAGACAGTGGTTGCCAGCATATCTAAGACAATAATGGCAATGGTTATTGTACAATAAACATAGGCATTCCTTTGTATACAGGTCTGGTTCTATGTCTTGGGTTTAAGCAGTCCACAACAGCTGTCATCTGCTTCTAATCCTGTGTTAAAGGTTGATGTTTAATGAACTGGAGGCAAAGGTCTTTGGTGGGAGTTACAGTCAACTCAGGAGGTTGTGCCTTTTTAAGATGAGAGATGTGACACCATGAGTCTATACCCTCTAATTTTATGGCATATGGATTAGTCAATAATGCCTGGTACAGTACCTATTCCACTGGGGTTGAAGGAAATCCTTTATTAGATGTCCTTTCCAGTAGACAAAATTTCTGAGTTGCAGACCATGACCAGGCACCTTATCTTCAGGGAGCACAGTGCGAAAAGAATTATTTACCAAATCTTGATTTCTTTTTTTTTTTTTAAAGACAGAGTCTGACTGTCACCCAGGCTGGAGTGCAGTGGCATGATCTCAGCACACTGCAACCTCCGCCTCCTGGGTTCAAGGGATCTCAGCACACTGCAACCTCTGCCTCCTGGGTTCAAGGGATTCTTCTGCCTCACCCTCCCAAGTAGCTGGAACTACAGGTGCATGCCACCACACCCAGCTAATTTTTGTATTTTTAGTAGGGACAGTTTTCAGCATATTGACCAGGCTGGTCTTGAACTCCTGACCTCATGATCCACCTGCCTCAGCCTCCCAAAGTGCTGGGATTACAGGCATGAGCCACCGCGCCTGGTCCAAATCTTAATTTTTTTTAAGATAATAAATGAGTCCCTCACAATATTGCTATATATCTCCCTTGAGAAGAGTTGGATTGGTTATGTTCATTCCCATACACATGGGCCTTCCTGTTATAATTTCATAAGGAGAAAGTTAATGTTTTCCAAAAGGGGTGGATCAGAGTGTAAGCAGCTTTGGGCCAGGGGGTGAAATGCCTCTGTGAGCTTAGCCAATTGTGTTTTAATTATTCCATTGGTCCTGTCTACCAGGCCTGAGGACTGGGGATGGTAGGCACAATGGAAATGTTGAAATATGGGTCAAATCTCACAAACATTTTGAATAACCTGGCCAGTAAAGTGAGCTCCCCTGTCACTGTGAAGTTCACAGGGAACTCCCCACAGTGGGATAATTTTTTCTAGTAGAATTTTCCAACTGCCATGGCTGCTGCTTGCCTGCAGGGAAAAGCTTGAACCCAATGGGCAAACATGCAGACCATTACAAAAACGTATTTCCAACCTTGAGATGATGGCAGCCAGAGAAAATCAAGCTGCCATACCTCAAAAGGTCGAGCCAGAAGTAAAAAATGATGTTGGACCCCTGGAGGGTCTTTCCTAAGTTATATTTGGGACAAATAGCACATCGAGAGTAACCTTTTTGTGCCACTGTGAAGGATGGTTTCCAGTAATATCGTTTACACCAGGGTATTATTTTATCTAGATTCCAATGGGTTAGATTATGAACATATTCCATAAGGGACACATGACATCCCATTGGAATAATGGGTTTATTATTAGGTCCACATCATATTTCACTTTCAAGAGACAAGTATCCCTCTGCCTATTTCCAAGTAGATTTCTCTTCTGTAGGAGCTATGCTCTGGGTTTCTTTCAACATGTTTTTAAGTATTTAGGGTTTTATGGCCATTTCCCAAATCGGGACTGGTGGCTCAGATGCTGCCCTTTCAGCTGTAGCATCAGCCAGTTGGTTACCCTAACTTACTTTGGTGTCTAATTTTGAATAACCTGGGATTTTTACAGTTGCCACATATTTTGGTTTTAGAATAGCTTCTAATAGCTCTGATACTTGTTGTCCATTTTTTATGGGTTGCCCCCAAGGAAGTTAAATATCCTCTTTCTTTCCATAACATAACAAAGTCATGAGCAACCCCAAAAGCGTAGCAGCTGTCAGTGTAAATGTTTGCAGCCTTGTCTTTTTGCCAGTTGACAAGCTCGGGTCAGGGCAATCAGTGTGGCCTCTTCAGCTGATCTGGTCTGAGGACGAGGACTGGCTTTAATTACCTCTAGTAAGGAAACCACAGCATATCCTGCTCTAAAATTTTCATCCTCTCCTCTTAAATAAGATCCATCTGTATACCATTCAGCATTATCCAGTGGCATCTCCTGTGGGTTTGTCTTGAGGGAGAGAAGTCGGTCAGTCATCAGAACACAGTCGTGGGGGGTTTCGTTGGAAGGGCCTGGCAAGAGAGTGGCTGGATTAAGATTATTACGGCAGGAAATTGTAATATTAGGAGATGATAAAAGCAAAATTTCATAAGAGGCTAACTAGTTGACAGACAGATGTTGAGTATGATGAGAGTTTAGAAGGGCCTCAAGAGAATGTGGCACAAAAATGGTAAGAGGGGAACCCATAATTATATCTTCAACAGACTTGTACAGAAGGGTCATGGCTGATATTGCTGTCACAGAAGGAAGCAGCCCTTGCGCCACAGGATACAGGTGTTGGCTATAACAGCTTATAGGTCTCTGATGATCACCATGTCTCTGGGTCAGTACCCTGGGTGCAGTACCTCCAGTTTCATGTACGAAAAGGGAGAAAGGCAATTTGGGTGCCTTAAGCTGGGGCATTAGTTAGAATGTCCTTTATTTGTTGTACAGCTGATTGTGCCTCTGGAGTCCACCCGATGGGATCAGGTTGCTTATTTTTTAGGTATGCATACAGAGGTTGAGACATAAGGGAGAAATATAGTATCCAGTTTCTACAATAGCCTCCCAAACCTAAAAATCCTCTAAGTTTTTTCTTAGCGATGGGCATTGGGAAAGCTAAAATTCCTCTCACTCTGTCAGGGTTAATACTCAGTCTTTTGACTAAGATAATATGCCCCAAACACTTAACTTGCAGTAATCATAGCAGAAGTTTGTCTTTGGACATTTTGTGTCCCTTGGTGGCTGTCTGAGTAAATATAGACTATCTTCCTGAAAGGATAGAGAGTGTGTCTGGACAAAGGAGAAAGTCATCCACATACTGAATAAGTGTTGAGCCCTGGGGAAAAAATTAAATCTAAATCAGCTTTTAATATTTGGGAAAAGTAAATGGGACTTTCTGTATACACTTTGGGACATTGCAGTCCAATATATTGCTGTTCTTTCCAAGCAAAAGCAAACAAATACTGACTGTCTGGATCTACAGGAATACTAAAGAAGGCACTACAGAGATCCACAACTGAGAAATACTGGCTGGTAGTGGGTTTAGCTGATAGAAGGGTATGTGGGTTTGGACTACTGGGTACCTGGGTATTACAGTATTGTTTGTTGCCCTCAAGTCCTGCACAAGTCTCTGTTCTCTCCCGCTTGGTTTCTTTACAGGGAACATAGGGCTGTTGCAGGGGCTCGTGCAGGGAATGAGGCCCCTTTATCAGATAATCTTGTATGATAGGGGCAGTTCCATCTATGGCTTCCTGTCGTAGAAAATATTGTTTAAGGTTGGGTAGGGGTTTCTTTGGGTTCATCTCTGCCTTTATTGGAGTGGCTGAGAATATTTTTCCTATATCTGTATTTGACTGAGACCATAAATGGGAAGGGACATCCTTGAGTAAGTGCTCTGCTTCTGGCGTTAAAAGGAAGATTGGGGAAGCTAGAAAGAGTTGTAATGTTTCCTGCTTTTTATTCCAACGTTTTCTCTTCCCCCTAATATTTCCTCCTCTGTCTCCATTTCATTTTCCCAGTCACAAGCTGATGTTTTAACGTTACTAGTAGTAAATTGTGGTACATTGTCAGGACATTTTTTAATTTGGTATTTTTGGTACCCTGGCTCCAATTCTAAAAAAAGTTCACCTTTTTATGAAAAAGAGATATGGGCATTATGGATGTTGAGGAGATCACAGCCCAAAAGATTGACAGGGGACCCAGGGTATATAAGAAACATATAGGACCTATTGAGCATATCACACTTAGAGCCTTCAGTGGAGGAGCTGAACCTGATGAACCGGTAAGGTACAGGTTTGGACCTAAAACAAAAGATTGTTTTATTAGACACACCCGCCATGTAAATTCTTTCATTACTCCAACAATGGGGTTCTAATTAAGATGGGAGTTATCAGAAATATAGTCACACCTGCGTCAATTAAGGCAGTTGTAAGCTTACGGTTTATTTTATTAGTCTCTCCCAATTTGTCTGTCAGGGTAGAATATTTGAAGAGGTGAAACCGCTGCATTTCCTTGGAGCATCCCTCGTCTTCCAGAGTTGCATTTTCCTGCCTTTTCTTTCAGCCTAAGGCAATTCCTCTTAAGGTGTCCCAGTCTTTATAGTAGTAACAGACTGGGAGTGAAGAGTTCTCAGACTAAGGAAGCTTAGAATCTTCCGGCCAAGAGGTTTGAGAAGTTAATTGCTTTAGGTGTAAATGCGTAACTCAGGCAATCTTCTGTTTTTCCTTTTTTATCATAGTGTGGGCTAATTGGTCAGCTAGGTTAACTGGTTCATTAGTTCTGGCTATGGCCCAGTTTGTCATGTGGTGTTTTACAAGGGTGGCTAAATCATCATCTAGTCCGTGTAATTGAGAAATTTTTTGTCTGGGCGCAGTGGCTCGTGCCTGTAATTCCAGCACTTTCGGAGGCCAAGGCAGGTGGATCATGAGGTAAGGAAATCGAGACCATCCTGGCCAACACGGTGAAATCCTGTCCCTACTAAAAGTACATAAATTAGCTAGGCATGGTGGTACGCGACTGTCATCCCAGCTACTTAGAAGGCTGAGGCAGGAGAATTGCCTGAACCAGGGTGTCAGAGGTTACAGTGAGCCGAGATCGCACCACTGCACTCCAGCCTGGGTGACACAGCGAGACTCTGTCTCAAAAAAAAAAATTAATAAATTTGCATATAATAATGTATCATTTTTATTGTTTTTAAAGCAATTAGCTGACATATTGCAACACTGCCTTAAAGTTTTATCAGAATGTGTGAAATAATCTAAAACTGATTCATTTGGGTTCTAGCAGCATTGTTGGATTTTATTCCAATCCATCACCCTTTGAAACACTG